GTGGTAGGGTGTGGTGTGTGGGAGGGGGTGGAGTGGGGTGGGGTGGGAAGTATGAAGGTTAGTTAGTTCACAGTTCTGGTTAGTTGGGTTCCAGGTAGCTAAGCCATCACCAAACATGAATTCAGTGTCTGGAACCAGGCATATCTGATTCCTAGGAAACACAGAGGTGACAAGGAGACCCCCAAGGGTCTGTCTTTGTTGGTGTCCTTTATCTTGTGTCATTTTATCTGGGTCCTGCTGGTTTGTTAGTGTCCTCTGGAGGAAATCTGTGTCATTATGATCCCTGAACTCATGGGGCTGAATTTGGTTTGGCTAGATTCTATATCCATGTCATTTCAACTCAAGTTCAGGGTGCTGATAGGTCTATGTGGATGTCAAGGATGAATAAGCACTCACTTTTCTCTCTTAAATTTGCTAACCTGGATTTTCTTTTTTTTATAAAACCTTCCATTCTAGCTTCCACCCCTGCCCCCTATATCTTAGTAGCTCTATTTGGCAAAGTCTGAAACCTTTGTTACTTTGCCCTATTCTCCACATCTAAGTGAAAAGTGGGGCAAACATTATTTCTTAGCAGGTTTGGGATGACTGGGTTGGGAGTGATGAGGATAGTTTATATACATTGTATCTTAGCCATGATTGCTTCATTTTACCTCTTTTTTGATTATACCTTTTCCTTAAATTGTACATATGTATGTCTGTATATTTACATCACACATACACACACACCACGCTGTGATATTTTAAGAAGAAAAAAGGATAATTTAGGACATAGGTTTCTGAACTCTGAAACTATGACTCCTGATGCACTGCTTTTCAGGAAAGACAACCCTTGGTCAGGCCTGGCCTGAAAGGAGTGAAGAAGACATGGCCACCAGCCTGTATGAATTCACTGATCATTCTCCAAGGCCAATTTTCTACAAACAGAATAGAAAGCAACACCTAAAAGGCCTAACTTAGTGGGTTCAGTTCAGCAAACTCCTCACAGGACTGCAGGCCACCTCACTAAATTGTTCTGAGTTTTACGGATACAATTTACAGAGATTTGTGGGTGGAAGATAAAATACACTTCATTTGGAATATGTAAAACAGGTGCGGGCTCTGTCACAGAACAACTATTTGCTTTTAATTTTATTTCAAACTTTTCATTTTCTACTAGTCATCAATCTGTGGCAAGTCTCTATCCTCTGGTCCTGCCTGTATTCTGTCCAAGTCTATCCTATCCTCTCTCCTCTCCAAGTCTCTATCCTGTCTAGGTCTGCCTGTCAGGAGTCACAGGGCTGTTATCCCATTGCATTCTGGGGCACTGTACACTTGTTTATGAACAGGGCAGCCCCTTGCCCCCATAGGAGTTCACAAATATACACTCTCTTCATCACAGTGAAGCAGCTTTCCCATACTTTGCTATATTGAGACATTTTGGTAGATATTAGAGTCGTTTGTGGCAATTTTTTCTGGTACTTTCTGACAAATGTGTGCCTCCTCTAATATGAAAGCAACTGTTAAAACTGAAGTAGGACATTCAGCAGATCCTTCATCCTTCAGCCCAAAGAAAGCATGATGGCTGAGAAAGTTATGAAGGACAGACCCATCTATTATTACTCCTTTCTCACAAATGATAACATCTTACTCAGGCACTACTTCTGCATTCTTGGAAGGACAATGAGCTCTGGCAATTTTTTAAATTGTCATAAAATATACATTAACATAAACTTTACCATTTAAAAAATATAGTTTAGTGGCATTAAGCATATTTACATTGTTGTATAACCATTACCAGCTTCCATCTCCAGCATATTTTCACCTTCCCTGAGCCCGTGAAACATTAACATTAAACATTAATTCCCTCTATTTCCAGTCCCTGGTTTCTTTCTGACTATTTGACAATTCTAGTTACTTCACTTAAGTGAGTTCATACAATATTTGTCCTTTGCCTGACTTACTCCCCTTAGCATAATATTTTCATGATTTATCCAAGTTATACTATGTGTCAGAATTTCATCTTTTTAAGGCTGAATAATATTCCTTTGAATGTATGTACCACATTTTGCACATCACCCGCTTAAGACATGTGGGTTGTCTCCACCTTTTGGCTCTCGTGAATGCTACTGCTGTGAACTGGGATGTGTCAGTATCTGTTCAAGTTCCTGTTCTACTTCTTTTAGGCATATACTCAGAAGCAGAAATGGTAGATTAGATGGTTACTTTATGTTTAATTTTTTAAGGAATCCTCATCTTATAGTTTGTTGTATTCACTTTCTATTAATAAGCTTTATTTTTTTAGTACAGTTTTAGGTTCACAGCAAAATGGAGGAGAAAGCACAGAGGGTTGCCTTATAGCCTGTGTCTCCCCTCTCCCATGCAAACACATGCTATTTTTAAATTTATTTTATTTTATATATATATTTACATCATTCTTCACTTTTGTACAATGTATGCTTTCTCCTTAGTCCCTGTGAGATTCCCACCACCAATTCAGCTGTGTCCCATCACTGCAGTCCCTTACACACATGGTATTTTTATAGTGTTACTGTGCCCACTGGGTGACTTGAGGGCCTTGTCCATTGCTGCAGGGAGTGATCCAGGCAGGCCTGCCCAAAGCAGGAGCTGGAAGCCCAGAGTCTCCAGAGGCCTTCCAGCGAACTTCTTCCCTCCCTGGACTATGGTTACAAAACTGACAGAATCAAAGGTCATCTTATGGGAACACCTGACATGTGAGCATGGACACTCACAGGAGTGACACTCACAAGAGGCAGTTAAGAAGCATCTGATCCAGGGCCTCCCTGGTGGCCCAAGAGGTTAAGCACAGCACTGTGAAGCTATTCGCAGCCTCTGCAGCATGAGTTTGATCCCGGCCAGCCAGGGAGCTACCCACATCATGCAGCAGACCTCTCTTGACTCGCCCACTACTCCCTTCAACAGTGTATTTCAGTCAGTCTGTCTGTTCTGTTCCTCACTCTGTCTCTGGTGAATCCTCTCACCTCCTGCACCTCTGGCCTATACCCCACTTCTTGTATGCATAAATAAACAAATCTTTTAAAAAAAAAAAAGAAGCATCTGAATCAGCCCAGTTCTTTCACCTCATGGTGAAGAGCCTTCATAAAGTGAAAACCTTCGTTCCAAGAATGCTGTGCAGAATAACTAGTGTTTGACAGAGATGTTACAGCTCGTGAGGGTAGAGTAATAATAGATAATGACATCACTCATTGGACAATCTCCAGAAGACAGCTCTGGGTTGATTCCTTAAAGAACTCCTTCATCACCTTTCATTTTTTTATCTTATTTTTTCTGATTTTGTGATTTTTCTTTAAAACACATGCACTTAAATCTATCTTCAGAATTCTGGTGTCTGTTAATGTTTGGGCAACAGATCTGTTCCTTCATTACATATCTGTTGGGAATTACTTTGATACCAGTGATTATTCTCAATTTCAGAGAGCTATAATAAAAGAACCGTAAGTCCTAAGAGCTACTTTGAATAACATTTGTATATCCAAATGAAATGTTACAAATCATAGTACTTATGCATAGATTTAGAATTTTCCCAACTATTTCCTGAACAGCATCACTCATATTTTTACATTCACATTGCTCAATGGAACAAATGAAAAAAAAATCTAAAATTCCTACAACGAAAGCTTAGAAATAAACAAAATGCATACATATTTACAGGCATGTATATGTACTTGTATGTTTGCTCATATGCATCCCATTATGCATTTGTTGAATCAAAGTCTTCTCCTTTTTTCTATTTATGAGTGAAAGAGTCTTGTCCTCAGCAGACTGGTGACTGGTTTGTTTCAAAACTAACACAATAAAATACTGATCCTCAAAACACGTCATTCCTGAGAACTTTAAATCCCACAAAAACCTGCACTTGCTGACTTAACTATTTACTAGAGATGCACCTCCTTTTCCACATGTGTATTCTAAACCAAGTCACATTTAAGTGTATGAGGGGAGGGATAATTCACTTTTTCTTTTTTTAAAGATTCATTTTTTAAATTTATATAATAGCTGGAGTACAGGCCAGAGGCGTGGGGGGGGGGGGTGAGAGGATTCACCAGAGACAGAGTGGGGAGCAGAACAGGCAGGCAGACCGAAAAGAGCGCTGAGGGGAGCAGCGGGCGTGACAGGAAAGGTCTGCCGCACCGTGTGGGACTCTCCCTGGCTGGCTGGGAATTGAACCCGGGCTGCAAGAGGCTGCGGACAGCTTCATAGAGCTGTGCTCAACCCGCTGTGCAAGTGGGAGGCCTTATGATGATTCACTTTGAAAAGGGACAATATTATCTCCCACCCCAGGGGAAGAGAGAGTGTCCCTTCTGAGTGTACCTAAAGGCACGGTGAACACACCTGCAGACCCTAGCTGGCCCCGTAGCCTGGTAACAGCACTGTTAGTCAACCATGATGAAAACCAAAGGCACAGGATGACTGGCACCAGTGACTCAGGGGTAAACCTGGCACAGAACAATGACATCTTCTTGGCTGGACTTTCAAATGTGACAGTGCTGACAAGACCTTAAAACTTCGTTCCTGAGACATGAGTCAATGTATGAAGCAAACCACTAAATAACTTAATTTAGTGAGAGTACTATATGTTTAATCCACTTTTCTACCTTTATCATTTATTCTTTCATTCCAGCTTGAGTTAAATTAGTGATTCTTAAAGTGGGTTCCCTGAACCAGCTACATCAGCATCACCTGGAAACTTTTTAGAAAAGCAAATTCCCAGTTTGCCCCAGATCTACTGAATCAGAAATTCTGGGTGGCAGGCCCAGTAAGTTGTACTTTAACAAGCCCTCCAGGTGATTTTCAAGCAAGCTCAATTTAAAAACCACTGAGTTTAGGAACCACCACTAACCTTGGTTCCCTTCCTCAATTACACTTCTCAAGATACTTTGCTAAAAGAAAGTAATTTCATGTATGTGTAGCTTGTTTATTATCACCTAAGAAAATTCTTATCACTGTTTGATTTGAGGAAAGAAACCTTAGTCAAAACTTACATGTAATTTTTCCAGGTCCCGTGCTGGCTTCGAGTCTTAGGATGCAGGGCACTGGGCGAAGGGAGAGATGAGAAAGCTACAGCAATCCATTCAGACATGGACCCCAAAGCTGTGTGGGGCAACCTTGTGACAGGTCAGTGAGTGTCCACCTGAATGGCAAGAAAAATTGTCCATTAGCAGAGCAAACCTTACACGGTAACCTTTTCCCTTCTGCAATTCTGCTATGTTGCCCCTGCTTTTAGGACCTCTAACTTAGTGAGCTGTGTGCTTTTTTTGACTGGTCACAAGGCAGAACATAATATCCAATGGTGTTAGTGCCTGGATTCAAATACATTAAAGTTCTGTCCTGAGAGATATTTCCGTTAGGTGAGCATCTGTAGGGTAAGGTAAAAAGTATCAGGCTTTTCTGCCCTCCCGCCATGAGGACAGATGAGGGAACCCCGTGGTCCTGAATGCATGCCTGATGGCGGGCACCTGAGTGGGTACACCTGGGCTGAGAGACTAAGTTTATAAGGGCGGCTGCGTGGGGACGCCAGCAGAAGCCAAGAACGAACGGAAGCTGAGAGAAGAAGAAGAGAAGCAGAGAGCACGCCAGAGAGCCTAGATAGGATTTGCTGGGGGCTGGGAGGACTGCCAGCCTCCCGGCCCCCCAGCACCATTGCCTGCCATATGCCTGGTAAATCTAAATAAAAGACCTGCAAAAGCCACCGAGGACTCTGACTCCTCCTTTACCCGGTCTGCATGGGATCCTAGAAAATCTGCACTGTGGCCCGTCCAGCCCTGACAGCATCCCTCCCCAGGTGCCCTCCTGAGCCCAAAGGCAGCTTGGAGCCAGGTCAATGTCCTGATAATCAGTTTCACAGTAATTTCATCTCATGAATATTTTCTTTCAACCAATTGAAACACTTTGGTTTAAAAGACAAGTGTGGTTGGAGTAAAAGATGATACAGGAAACAAACGATAAATTTGAGATTCTGACTGAAATGAGATGGTTCTCTGTACCATAATTATGCTTATTTTTAAATCAATAATACTTGTATTTTTCTGAAGCCAACTGTAGGGGCAGGATTGGGCACAGTGCAGGTTTTCTGATCTAGCAGACCAGACTGGGTAAAGGAAGAGAGAGTCCTGGAGCCCTCAGCGGCTTTTGCAGGCTTTTACTGGGATTTGCCAGGTACATGGCAGGTAGGGGTTCCAGCAAGCCTCCCAGCCCCCAGCAAGTCTTCACTCTTTCTGGGCCCTCTGGTGTTCTCACTGCTTCTCTGCTTTCCTGCTTCTCTTCTGCTCTTCTGCTGGCATCCCCGTGACGCCGCCCTTAAAAGCCCAGTCTTAGCCCAGGTGAATCCCATCTACATATCAGGCATGCTTTCAGGACCGCAGATCCGTCATCTTATCCTAATGGCAGGAGGGCAGAAAAGCCTGATACTTTTACCTTACCCTACACAACTTAATCCCTACTTATTGTAGAGCACTTGAAAAATATGAAAAAGCATAAAAATCACAGTAGCCTTGACACTTATAAGTCACTACTGATGTTTCGCTGTATAGGTTCACAATCCCTTAACTGAAACTCCTGGGCTAGATATGTTTCAGTATTCAGAAGTTTTCTGGATTTTAGAGTATAGCAATGCAACTATTGTTGTTACATAATACCCCACTGGAATCTGGAGCATCACCCGATAATCAAACACATTAAATCATTCGATAGCAAAACAGATGTGCATTTTTTTTTTTTTTTTTTTTTTTTTTTTTTTTTTTTTTGCTTATCATATATTTATTCGTTTATGAAAGCAGAATAATATAGTGGTTAAAGTAAGCCCACAGGGAGGTTCTTGAAGGTTGTACTGTGTCCTAAACAGCTCCAGGGAGTGCTATTCACAAGGACCTTATGTGGCAGCCCTAGCTTAGGGGTACTTTCATTGGCAGAGCATCACTTGGCTTCAAATCTGCCTCTGCCACCTCTATCCGGGTGACTTTGGGCTGGATTCTTTACATTTTTTGACTCAGTGACCTCAAAAATGAAGTGAGGCTACTACCTGCCTGGGAGGTGGTGTTGTGCGGATTAAATGAATGATTGCATCTTCAGTGCACTGAAGAGTTCCATGCCATTGCCATGATCAGTTCCTAAACAGTTGACAGAATACCCTTGGGAAGCCATCTGGGTCTGGGCCCTTCCTCTGTCTCTCTGTCTCTCTCTGACTTTCTCCTATATTTGCATGTCTCTGCGGTGTTTTTTCCTAGAACTTTTTTTTTTTTTTTTAATAAATTTTATTGTTATATTCCCCATACAATTGCAGCCTCCCATTCTGACCCCAATCCCTCCCCTCCCACCCCCGCCCCCTAAAAGTGTCTCTGGTTCATAGTTTTTGTTGATTTTGATTTTCACTTTCTTGTAGTTATTCATTTTCCTGGTCCCTTATTTAAGTTTTTCTAGATTCCTGCTATGAGTGAGACCATCCGGTATTCTTTTTCTTTTGGCTTATTTCGCTGAGCATGATCCCTTCCAGCGCATCCATGTTGCTGCAAATTGCATGTGTTTATCTTTTTTGAATGCTGAGTAATATTCCATGGTATATATGTACCACATCTTCTTGATCCAGTCATCTATTTTTGGCATTTGGGTTGTTTCCAAAGCTTAGCTATTGTAAACAGTGCTGCTATAAACATAGGGGTGCAGGTGTTCTTTGGAATTGATGTTTCTGTGTCCTTTGGGTAAATACCTAGGAGTGAATTGCTGGATCATATGGAAGCTCTATGTTTAGTAGGTCCAGAAATCTCCATACAGCTTTCCACAGTGGTTGGACCAGTTTGCACTCCCACCAACAGTGCAGAAGAGTTCCTTTTCTCCACACCCTCGCCACATTTGTTGTTGTTAGTTTTTTTAATATGTGCCATTCTCACTGGTGTAAGATGGTATCTCATGGTAGTTTTGATTTCATTTCCCTGATGGCAAGTGATGTTGAAACATTTTTTCATATGCCTGTTGGCCATTTGCATTTCCTCTTCAGAGAAGTTTCTTTAAGCTCTTCTGCCCATTTTTGACTGGATTATTTTCTTGTGTTGTTGAGTCTCATCAGCTCTTTGCAGATTTTTGTGATCAGTCCTTTATCATTAGTGTTGGGTGCAAATGTTCTCCCAGTTGGTGGGGTTTCTCTTTGTTTTTGTTATTGTCTCTTTTGCTGTGCAAAAGCTCTTTAATTTGATGTAGTCCCAGCTGTTTATCTTTGCCTTCACTATCACTGCTTTGGGTGATGTGTCTGTAAAGATGTCTTTGATGTGCAAATCACGTAGTGTTTCGCCTATATTCCTTCTATATATTTATGGTTTCAGGTCTTATCTCTAGTTCTTTAATCCATTTTGAGTTGATTTTTGTGTATGGTGTGAGGTGGTGGTCAAGCTTCATTCTTTTGCATGTAGCGACCCAGTTTTCCCAGCACCATTTATTGAACAAACTTTCTTTGCTCCAATGCATATTCTTTGCTCCTTTGTCAAATATTAGTTGACCATAAATCTGTGGTTTATTTCTGGATTTTCTATTCGATTCCATTGGTCTGTATGTCTGTTCTTGTTCCAATACCATGCAGTTTTGATGATTATGGCTTTGTAGTATAGTTTGAAGTCTGGAGTCTGATGCCTCCATTCCCTTCTTTTTTTTTCAGGAGAGCTTTGGCTATTCGGGGTTTTTGGTGATTCCATATGAATTTCATCAATAATTGTTCTATTTCTTTGAAGAATGACATTGAAATTTTGATTGGAATAGCATTGAATCTGTATATTGCTTTTGGTAGGATGGCCATTTTAATAATGTTTATTCTTCCAATCCATGAGCAGGGGATGTCTCTCCATTTCTTTGTGTCTTCTTCTATTTCTTTTAACAGTGTTTTATAGTTTTCTTTGTATAGGTCCTTTACCTCTTTTGTTAGATTTATTCCCAATATTTGATTTTTTTTGTTTCAATAACAAAAGGATGGTCTTTTTGATTTCTTCTTCTTCAGATTTATTGTTTGTGTATAGGAAGGCTACTGACTTTTGCGTGTTGATTTTGTATCCTGCCACTTTACTGAACTGATTGATGAGTTGAATTAGCTTTTCTGTGGAGTTTTTGGGGTTCTCTATGTATAATATCATATCGTCTGCAAATAGTGATAGTTTGACTTCTTCTTTTCCTATTTGGATTCCTTGGATGTCTTTCTCTTGTCTTATTGCCCTGGCTAGGACTTCCAGTATTATATTGAAAAGCAATGGTGAGAGTGGACATCCTTGTCTTGTTCCAGATCTTAATGGAATTGCTTTCAGCTTTTCACCATTGAGAATGATACTGGCTGTTGGCTTGTCATAGATGGCCTTTATGATGTTGAGGTATGTTCCTTGTATCCCCAGAATTTCAAGGGCTTTTATCATGAATGGGTGTTGCACTTTGTCGAAAGCTTTCTCAGCATCTATTGATATTATCATATGGTTTTTATATTTCTTTTTGTTGATGTGTTGGATAACGTTGATTGATTTTCGGATGTTAAACCATCCTTGTGCCCCTGGAATGAATCCAACTTGGTCGTGGTGAATTATCTTATGGATACATTGTTGGATTCTGATAGCTAAAATTTTATTGAGGATTTTTGCATCAGTGTTCATTAGGGAGATTGGCCTATAGTTTTCCTTTTTTGTGTTGTCCTTGTTCGGTTTTGGTATTAGTGTAATGTTGGCTTCATAAAACGTGTTTGGTATTGTCCCTTCCTTCTCAATTTTTGGAAGAGTTTGTGAAGGATAGGCACTAATTCATCTCTGAATGTTTGGTAGAATTCATTTGTAAATCCATCAGGTCCTGGGCTTTTGTTTTTGGGAGGTTTTTTATTACCATTTCAATTTCGCTAATTGTAATTGGTCTGTTTAGGTGTTCTATTTCTTCTTTATCTAGCTTTGGGTGATTGTAGAGTTGTAGGAATTTGTCCATCTCCTCTAGATTGTTAAACTTGTTTCCATATAACTGTTCATAGTAGTTACTGATTATTCTTTTGATTTCTGCTGTGTCCGTTGTGATTTCTCCTCTTTCATTGATGATCCTGTTTATTTGTGCTTTCTCCCTTTTTTCCTTTGTGAGCCTGGCTAGGGGTTTGTCTATTTATTGATTTTTTCAAAAAACCAGCTCTTG